CCCCCATCATCATCACCACCACCCACGACCCCTCGCCCCATCTTCAAAGCTTACTTGGGTGGAAGTCCATTGCGGACTCAGCTGGAGCCGCTCATGAAACCAAAGGACACTTGTGGACCTGAACAGTCGAAGGTTCTCAACTTCAGCAGCGTATGAAGTTGATTTGCGGAGACGGACGGCATCGCGCACTCCACGGTCAGCTTGCACTACGACACCATTTGTCCTCATTTGTAAGACAAATCTCTGCGCGAGTAGAACAGACTGTCTATTTTTTTTTTTTTTTTTTTTCACTACCATTGACAACAATAGACGTCAAAGATCAGTTTTTAAAGGACGTTCTCAACTTCAGCAGCGTATGAAGTTGATTTGCGGAGACGGACGGCATCGCGCACTCCACGGTCAGCTTGCACTACGACACCATTTGTCCTCATTTGTAAGACAAATCTCTGCACTAGTAGAACAGACTCTTGTTTTTTTTGTTTTTTTAATTCACTGCCATTGACAACAATAGACGTCAAAGATCCGTTTTTAAAGGACTGGCAGCGAATCCATTTAATTTTTTTTTTTTTTTTGTTCTTTCCCACCACTTGACAACATTTCTTCACATGAGGACAACATTCACATACTCGTACGACAACTTGTTACCGCAAGTGGAGCAAAACTGCGCACTAGTTGACAACTGCCTTGTGATGTCAACCAGAAGAATCTCGTCACTAGTAGCACATTGACATGTTAAGTGACATTCTAAATGAGAGCTAGTCGAATTTGACATCATGACACGAGTTGACATCCCTGCGCGGCGAGTAGCACAAGATGAAGATGTTAACTCGAAATGACGTCTGCAAAACTAACTAGTAAATGTTACTCAGACTCATAGTTGCACCGGTTAACATCTGCTTGCTCCCGATCCTGCCACGGAGGTGCACTGAAGTCAGCTATGACAATCTCGGAACTAGTTAACACCTGCATGCTATCAGTGAACCGCTAAATGTTAACTCGTAGAATTCAGTGTCTCCATTAGCACGATTTGACATCTGCACTGCAAAGGAGTACTAGTGAAGCACGTAACGCCATTAGTAGTACAAGGTGCAAATACTAGTGAAGCATTAGATGTGAGCTAGTTGGGTTTTTTTTTCTGTTGCTCATAGTAGCATGCGCCACGAGCTGACTTAAGAAATGTCAGACAGTTTTAGTTTTGGTTTTTTTTTGGTAACGAGTAAGACAGTTCTACTAACGCGCTCCACTTATTCTCCTCGTAAGCCGAGTTGGCTTACTCGTGAGGACAAAGAGTGTCCTAGTCCATGTGGCCTGAAGCTCTGGACTCGATGCCCAAAAGGTCTTCCATCGGCACTCCCGGTCGTACTTGGATGGACTGCAGCCACGGGACCGCGCTGCGACGTGGGCAGACCCCAAAATCCCGATGACCTTTGCCGCCACCATCCGGGCGGCGATCTGCACTTTCACGTTTACGAAATGGAGTAAACGCCCCCGCCCGCCCCACCTTCCCCGCTCGTAGCATCCAGCAGCCGCCGCCAGCCGTCATGGTCCACGCGTTCCCTTCGGACCGCCGGCCGATTTCTTTCGCCTCGATACCAAAGAGCTGCGTTCTTTTTGTGCCTGCCCGCACACGTGCTTGTGCGGCTTTCTCGTCTCGATTTCTCCCGACCTCAAAAGTGTGTTGTGGAAGCCATATTCTTTTTTTTTTTTCAGGAAGATGGTG